TTCAAGATCTGGTTCTTCAAATCCAATATTGAAATCTTAGACCCTGACGTTATTACCAATAACTCATCCAAGTACCTTACAGCATATATCTTTTCCGGCTTATAAAAGACATTTGAGGCGGAAACTAGTTCATTCAAATCAAGTTTGGGATCATTCTGATTCATTTTAAGGCGCATATCCTGGATCTCTTTATCCAAACTATCAAAGTAAATATTAATCAAAATTGAACACAAGCCAGATTCCTAAGGAAATCCTCTTCCTAAATAACACCCACCCAGGTCAATTCTCACTACTTCACATTCAAACAACCCCTTGACTCTTGAGCATAACAATCAACATCATATCCTTAATTTTCTCCCCAATAAACAAACACAATTTATCTATGTTACACTTCTGAAAGTTCTCACGGTTAAACGAAACATTAAACCACCAACTTAGATTTTGTACAGAGTTTTTAAGGCACCAAATTGCAGTGTGCCTTCCCATACCAACACAGCCCCCGTAAGAAAATGTGACAAACCGGTCATCATAGACAATTTCCAATACCATCCTCATAGCTTCAATCAAGAACTTCAATTTCAAATTGGGCAGGACCAGAGGCTCACCTCTATTCCTTCATTGCGTCATTTTGACACAGCAAGACTCAATATCAAACTCATTTTCTCAAATTTCACCACTCATTTCAATTATGGAGAAGCGTTTGGAGATGGAATCCAGAAAACGAGGGAGCATCGGAGTTGTCTCTGGCATTGTGTTGACAGGACTGGTGAGGTTTGGCATGCAGTGAGGAGGACAGAGGGCAAAGCAATGACATTCTGGACAAGGTTGGAGAAGTTTACATGAGAGTATTGGGAGAGAACCACGATCTTGAGCTGGGGTTTTGTTAAGGGTTCTGTGGGGTTTGCATAAGGGTTTAAGGGGAGGGTTGAGTATTGCTTAAATGCTGCAGTGATGGAGATAGAATGCCCAAGATTGAGCCTAGTGATTCTGTTGAGCTTCTTAAGCATTGATGGGTAGTGAAGAAATATGAAGCAAAAGATGAAATTGGTTGCTATATTCTGTTTGTTTTCGAGATCCACCTCTTTCTTCTTCTCACTTTTTCTTTTAACCTCACAGAAAGTATCTGTAAGACATCATACAAATTTCTAATCTTGTTGGAAGGAGAAAAAATAAATAAATAAATAAAACCAAAAACTGCATCACAAAATTCTCACAAAAGAAGTATTGAGTCTATTGACTATTGTCCAATTCACAATGTAAATCGATTAAACAGAGTGAAATTATAAGAACCTAATAATACCTGATGTACTTTGTGTAAAATCAAGATGATAACTTGTATGAAATGGAAAAAAACCTAGTAAATTGATCATAACAAGGCTTGACACAATGTGGATGTTCAACATGGAGCTAGAACGATTCCACTATCAATGTCAAAATACCAATAACTCAGAAATTCTGATCATCAGACATCACCATATTCATTATTTAAAAAAAAAAACAGAGAAGAGTTACAAGGCCAATAAATTTTGATAGTGATCAAACCAAGATCTATTTCCATAAGAAGAGAATAAACCAACAACAAGGATCACTTCCTCCATGTTAATTTTTAACATCTTTTAAACCTTGGCTAACCAAGGGGCATTCTACCAGTTCAATTCAATGACACCATACATTAGCTAAACACACCCAGAATAGGAATTGTGAGATAACAATACTAGAAAAAGGGGGAAAAAAACGTAACATTCCTCTGCACCACCTTTTTCCCCCAGAACGTGAATGAAACACACAAAATTAGTAGAAGAGTAGCTCAAACAATGTGCAAGGATAGAGTATACAATAATTTAATTCTTAAGACATGCAATCTCAGTAGTCTCTCTAGAAATACACATTAGAGTGCTTCCATATAGGTAACCAATTATTGGAAAAATTTATCAAAAAACTCTCACTCATTTCCCCTTTCCCCTTTCATCCATTTAATGACTGACTTTTGTCCATTCAACCAACTGATAAATATTCAATTTCATAATTCCATCTTCACCTTAACCTACTTTAAGAAACTAAATCTTAGCTGGATTTTTCATGTTTATATTGAAACATCAATCATATTTTTGAATTATAATCAAGCAATTTCTTTTGCATGGCAGTTTCTATTAAAGGAAAAATAAATAAATTCTTTCAGACAGCAAGTACTCATCATATTTTGTGCGAAAGAGACTGACGACCAGTAAGCTTGACTTGAACATCCACGTCCAAAAACATTGGAAAACCCAAGACAGTTTCTTTCCTATCTGACTGAATGAAAAATCATCCAGAATACCATAACCGATCTCTTGAGTATTGAATTTCATTTCGCCATGTTCAAGTTAACAAAAAGTTGCATAGCAAGTTCTAATAGGAATTTTAACAAACATCTTATGGGCACTAAAGGAGTTATCCAACAACCACTAATCAAAACACATTTCAACAATCAACAACTAGTATACCGCAGACAAAGCAAAAACGGCTCCCGAAACACGTAAGCTGAGTTTGAGAAATTAACAGCGATTTTGGGATCAGTAGCGTACCAGATTGGAGCCGAAAACCAGAA